TAATATAATTTTCAATGTATACAATATCAAATCCATCTATCTGTATTATACCCTATAACAACACTCAATATTAGTAGCGTTGTAATAGCAGCTCATTATATTTTTAACATTTAATGTTAAGCAAGCAGAATGTCTGTGAACCAGTCAGGTTAATGTACTAAATACATAAGCGAAACGGTATTTGGAATGCTGAACTCTGTCGATGTCTGCGGCTGTTCACACAGACCATTGATCTGAAGAAATGGCAGACGGAACTGGAGTGGTAGAAGGCAATGTCTGCTGAATACGGTGGATTTCCTTGACCACCTCAGCAGCTTGTGACCGAAGGTTATCGTGTGGCAAATTCCTTTGCTCATGTCTTCCGGCATAGTTTGCGGCTGTTTAAATTTGAATGGCATTAAGTGCTGTTGATTACATTTGCCCTCGCATAATTTCTCCTAATGTATGCCGAAGGAGCCTATCGTAGATTACTTTCAGCTGCTGCCAGCTGTGGCACAGCCAAGGTATTTGGGTGCTGCATGAGTAGGCTTTATATGTCTAATATGGGCTAAAGTAAAATGTATATTAAATTAAGATGGGGGCTATTCATATGCAAATATATATGTATGTATATCCAATGCTAAGCTCCAAAAGGCAATTGAATACATTCATAATGCAATATCTCGAATTGTATTCATAGAGCATTCACAGACATTAGCTTTTATGAATAGCTGTAATAAGTATTCATGTCAAAGGCATTCAAATAATGCAAACTTAAATATACTTCTTATTATCCTTATGCCAATTTCCTTAAACCAAAGCTGACCTCTTTGTCATAAAAATAAAAAAATAATATTTAAATATCTATCAAATTTACTAAGTGAATATACTCATTTTCAGCGCAATGTTGTCCAATCCGCACCCAACCTAGTGAGTACCTCAATGCCACACGAAAGCATCCAAAATGCGTTCGTGGTGCTAACATCTAGATAAATTTCAAGTGCTAACGCGCTGGGCACATTCAACTGAGCGAGAGGGAGAGAGCAAGAGGGGGAGCGCGAGCGGCAGGCGAGCGGAAGGAGAAGAAATTAAGGCGCCTGCACCGGAGAACGCATAATCATAGCATAATCCTGGGCAAGGAACACGAGCACTATTCAGGTTTGCGGCTAACACAAACATCCACAGCACCCAACACCCAACGTAGAGCCTAGACCCAAGCACAACACAAGACAACATATACATATACACATCAGATCTGTCGGATCGCATTACCCCATTCAGCTAGCGTACTGTGACTATGACCTATATACCTAAAAATATGAATCACTATGCGCATGCAGCCATGAATCTGATCAACATGGATTCGGAGAATCGGGTCGTGCTCAATGTGGGCGGCATTCGGCATGAAACGTACAAGGCGACACTGAAGAAGATTCCAGCCACGCGTCTATCACGTCTGACCGAGGCGCTGGCCAACTACGATCCCATACTGAACGAGTACTTCTTCGACAGGCATCCAGGTGTATTCGCACAAGTGCTCAACTACTACAGGTGAATTCAACTACCAACTATAACCGTATATATGGCTGATGCAACATGTCGCCCTTCTAGAACTGGCAAGCTGCATTATCCTACAGATGTGTGCGGTCCGCTGTTCGAGGAGGAATTGGAATTTTGGGGTCTCGACTCGAATCAGGTGGAGCCCTGCTGCTGGATGACCTATACACAGGTGAGTTGGCTTACTTAAATACAAAATATCTAATAACTATTATCCACTCGTCCCCTACAGCATCGTGACACACAAGAAACCCTAGCCGTACTCGATCGCTTAGATCTGGATACGGAAAAACCGTCCGAAGAGGAATTGGCACGCAAATTTGGCTTCGAGGAGGATTATTACAAAGGCACCATCTCCTGGTGGCAGGAAATGAAGCCGCGCATTTGGTCGCTATTCGACGAGCCATACAGTTCAAATGCCGCCAAGGTAAGTAGCCGAAATCAAAACCCAAAGCTTCTTCAGGCTAACTCACCTGCTTGCCTCTTCAGACCATTGGCGTCGTCTCGGTGTTCTTCATATGCATTTCGATATTGTCCTTCTGTCTGAAAACCCATCCGGATATGCGTGTGCCCATCGTGCACAATGTCACAGTGAAGACGGCGAATGGCAGCGCCGCCTGGTTCCTGGACAAGTCAATGACCAATGCGCACATTGCCTTCTTCTACATAGAATGCGTTTGCAATGCCTGGTTTACGTTCGAGATATTGGTGAGTTGATGCAACGAAATTGACACCTATTACTGAGAGATATAAACTAGTAGCTGAATTTGGTAGGCTAGAAGAAGGCAAAGCTATTGCGGAGCTAAGGAAATTGATAGAAATAAATTGAAAGCTTTGGGCTGTGTTGATCCCCGAGATGTACGAAGAATAACTAAATCTCGATAAGATGTTTAATCAATGTGTTACAGCCCTTACCAAATATATAAAGGTAAAGCAATGATAGGTAAGAGAAGTTGCAAGTGAACGTGAAATATTAACTATAATACATTGAGTATATGAGTAGAATAAATTGACGATTCAACATCGAAAAGAGGAAGAGCTCTTAAATCAAATAGGAATTTGTAGAGATTTTTCTATGAGTAGTTCAAGCAATAAATGTTTAGGTAGAATACTATATGTAACATCAGTTGGGAATTGAACTGCTATGCTCATTCTGATTTATTCTATTCTCCCCTTCTTACAGGTTCGCTTCATCTCGTCGCCGAACAAGTGTGAATTCTTAAAGTCATCTGTTAACATCATAGATTATATAGCGACGCTTAGTTTTTATATTGATCTAGTGCTTCAGCGATTCGCATCGCATCTGGAGAACGCTGACATACTCGAGTTCTTCTCGATTATACGCATCATGCGTCTGTTCAAGCTGACCCGCCATTCATCCGGCCTGAAAATCCTGATACAGACGTTCCGCGCCTCCGCCAAGGAGCTAACACTTCTGGTATTCTTCCTGGTGCTGGGCATTGTGATCTTTGCCAGTCTCGTCTATTATGCCGAGCGCATACAGCCCAATCCACACAACGACTTCAATAGCATACCGCTGGGCCTGTGGTGGGCACTGGTCACCATGACTACCGTTGGCTACGGCGACATGGCGCCCAAGACCTACATTGGCATGTTTGTCGGCGCCCTCTGCGCTCTGGCCGGTGTGCTAACCATTGCACTGCCAGTGCCCGTCATTGTTAGCAACTTCGCCATGTACTATTCGCATACGCAGGCGCGAGCCAAACTGCCAAAGAAGCGTAGACGAGTGCTTCCCGTCGAACAGCCGCGACAGGCCCGACTGCCAGGTGAGCGTAAGTATCAATGGAATGGTCTCTCACATATAGGAAAGCATATTCCACTCACATTTCCATCGTTCTCTCTCTCTCTCTCTCTCTCTCGTTTAGGCGCTCCAGGCGGCGTCAGTGGCTGTGGCACTCCAGGCTCTGGCCCACACTCCGGCCCCATGGGCTCCGGGGGCACTGGACCCCGTCGCATGAACAATAAAACCAAGGATCTGGTCAGCCCCAAGTCAGGTGAGTGTTCGGTTGCGTCGCGCAACGAATGCCATTCAGCAGCACCAATCTACACCAGCTTAACAACCGAGCTGAGCGCTTCAACACCCGGAGCACCCCGGTACCACCTAACGTACGCCTCTGTCTCGCTCGCTCTGTCCCTTAAGCCAGTGCTGAGTAAACTGGCAAACAGCTTCTAACCTTCACTAAAGCTCAACGCCTGCACAGCTGCACTCAGTACTCAAACGTTTTGCTTTGAGGCTCACCTAGCAGTTGTTGTGCTGTCCCCCTCAAGCGTACTAGGCAATATCTATTCGAAAAGTATACCTCCTAAATTCTGCAAAAACAGCTTGCGCACAAAGCCAAACAAAATGATCTACAAATTTAACTAATGCTCCCTTTGACCCATCTATTGTTATATATATATATGTTATATATGAAGTTTTGATTTTATTTTGGGGTGCGCTCCTTGAGCTACTTGCAAACTACAATACAATATATATGGCAGTTGTACGTGTATATATGTACTCTATGTAATTAAAATGTGAATGGATTACTCGAATCACATCATCGAAAGATCATCAACTGAAATCATCTCGAACACGCTTGGCTTTCCTTTTACGCTGCTCATGGGCTCCAAGAGCCGCTGTTGATGGGAGATCTGTAAAGATATCGAAAGAGCCTCAAAAATAACATATATTGACTTAGGCTTATAATTATGTATAAGTAATTTTTCAATCTTTGAATAGATTCCAAGAGATATGCAATATATGCTCATATTTGATGTATGTACATATCGATACATATCGATTGCTCAACAGATCTCTAATCAACATTCACCTATTCCATCAAAAAATACATCTACCAGCCTTTATTCATGGCTTTAAAAAAAAAAGAACGCTTTAAGTTGAAAAAAAAAAAAAAAATCTATCTGGAAATTTCCAAAAAAATATTTCTGTACAATATATTAAAGTATCCGCCCTTTCAGTTTTCGGCTTCAAAGGGTTCATTTCTCTTCTTTTATTATAATCAATCAAAATCCTTTCCAACCACAATTTTAAAATAAGTTTTGCTCTCAATATGTAATTTATTTTTATTTTCATGTTTTCATTTTTTTTTTTAAATTAATAATCCCAATCAAAAAATCAAAACAAAAAAATCTTATGTAAATACTTAGATGAATATACTACAATGATTGGCAAACCCCGTGATGGCAAAAAGAGCAGGCTGCTCTGAGCCTTAAGCAAAGAATCACGAACACGACAACGACAACAACATGAACTCTGAACCACCCCGAGAAAACTCCAATAAAATTTTCAAATGCAAAGAGCAATTGTGTACTGAACAATGGACCATATCTATGAAGCTACTGTCGATCACATCATTGAGAATGAATATTTAAATTATCACAAAAAATATATATATAAAAAAAAAAAAAAAAAACAATGCACATGAAATCGAAAAGGAACCGCTGGATTGAGATACGAATCGTGGTACGTTGGCCTCCCACCAAGGACCTCCTCTATATAAGACAGGCGGTGGCGTCTGGTACTCTACTACTACTGCTGCTCCTACTGCTACTGCTACCACTCTGCTCCTATACCTTCTACAACTTGCTATATAGTCGTATATATATGCTCTATATATGACTACAATATGTAATTTTCTACGTGTTTACCTCTCTCTGTCTCACTCTCTCTCTCTCTCTAAATATACTGAATATTGAATATTAATTGATATATTGATATACGTGTTGTTCATCAGTTCTGGCTCGTTCGTTCGTTCGTTCAAAAGTATCTACTCTATATGCATACATATATATAAATATAAATATCTATTCAACAAGTATACCTATCTCTCTCGCTCTTACTATCTATATGTGTGTCTGCGTGTGTGTATTTTTTATATAAATATATACATATATATATTTCAYTGTTGTTCGAAACGTCGAACAGGCGTTCAATATAATATATATACTTAGTTCTATATACGTATTGATATTTTTTATAGTCAAACATATTTGTATTATCTTGAACTTTTGTATTTCAGATATGGCCTTCAGTTTCGACTAAAAAATATATATAAAACGAAACCAGTTCATATTTTGTAATTTGTATTCCAAAAGTACCGAAACAGAAAACACAGTTCAAATGAAAGCACAAAAAAAAAGCAAAAGTCAACTCAAAATCAAAAGAGCAGAAATAAAAAATAATTGAAAATCAAAAAGAAAATCAAAAGAAATCGCAATCGTAATCGTTATCGTTATCGCTATCTGTATCGCAAAACGCTCATCTCTCATGCTCTCTCTCAGGCTCAGACAAAAATGCCACACGGATCAAGCTGGGCGGGTGTGTTGGTTTACCATATTCTAAATAGCATACAAATCTCTATGTACCTAGTACTCTATTCTAATCCTATAACAAACATCCTATCTATGTAGCTTAGGCGCTGCCAGCAACTCCTACAAGAACATTTCTAAAACTAACTAGTTTGTAGATAATTTCCTTGAACTGAATAACCGCAAAACCGATATCCGCAAAACCGATTACCGATTCCGAACCTTCACACCTCTTAACATCCAGCGATGATACGAACAAAAAAAGTTTGCCCAACACATGCGAAAGCAACCCTCAAGTAGTTCGACTGCATGCTGCATGTTTTCCCGTGCGGGGTCTCAACCTCCGACGTGTCAGTAACCCTAGATTAGTTGTTAATTTAATTTAAGTTGTCTGTGCGTGTTGCGTGTTGTGTTGTGTGTTGTATGCTGTGAGTGCATTAAGTGTGTGCATCGTATGCCGTTTTGTATCCCAGCCACCACAAACACCCTGTACGTGTAGTATAAAAAGTGCACCCTGTATTAAAGAACACCGAATAGCGTTGCGTCTATCCTCGAATTCGACTTAAGTAAATTGAGATTGGATTTTTTAACAATATTTATAACAAATATTAATATAATTGCTTTTTCTCTCTCTCTCTCTCTCCTCTCTCTCTTTCTTTCTCTTTCTCTCTTTCTACTGTTTATCTTTCTATCTATCTATCGCTGTCTCCCTACTCTACATACTCTACATTCTGTTCACGTTTAACTGCGCCTAAACCAAACAGTTGCTCAACTCTTCACAGGTCCCCTGGGCGCCAGCATCGTTGCGATGAGTCCACGCACCATGCTAGACTTGAATCCGGCACTGGCCATGGGTAAGCCCACGTTTCAGCCACGTTTTCCAACCCAATCGGCTGCCACGCCCCCCATGGCGCCCACAATCCCAGTGACATTGGCTGCGAACATAACGGCCACAGCGGCCGGAGCAGCGGCTGCTGCAGCATCTGGAACACTGCCAGCGGTGCCCAGCATAGCGGTGTCGACCACCGCCAGCATCGGCAAGGATAGCACCGCTACYGGCACCACCACCACCACCAGCACCACCACCCTGGAGGCCAGCAAGAAGGCGTTCCTCTAAGCAGCCGCCCTCATCTCTCAAGTCCCATCAAGCAATACCTAGCCTATAGCCTATTGTAACCTTCGCATACGTATATGCCTACCTATGAGTAATTATCAATCTATTATCACGCGAACAACACTCCCATATCATGACATACATATTACTGTAGCTATATAAGTATTATTACAATTAATAATGCATTCGGCACTGCTTGGCATTTTGGAGACGACACGAATCCAAAGCGACGTTTTTAACTATGAAGGTTTTTAGTATTATATTTAAATTGTTTTATCGATCCACTTCTTTTTATATACCTATATAGATATGTCTTATGTTAGAAATAGCCAATGTTGTATATACTGCATAGCTAACGATTTTAACGATTGGTTAAGATCAACAATAGAAATACAGAAATTTTTTATGCAAACAATTTTTTAAATAGATCTGGCTTTAATTTCAGACTCAAAACAGATTGTTTAAAATATACCGTTACTTATGAATTTTATATACGCTTTACTAATGAAATCTCAAAATTTCTCAATCTCAGCAAACAGTTGTGACACATTTTTCCCCCAATATTTTGCATTTAAAAGAAAGCTTTTAGTGTGCCTAAAATTACAATAATATTGATCCTGCTCTTATGTTGTGAAAGTTAATAGAGCTTGTCATGTATTTTGCTTTCAAAAGTATTTGATATACTGCAGAAAGTAACTGAAGTCGATAAAGCTTATCATACGTTTCTATAGACCTTGAATATATCCTCCCCCTAATACAAATATGATTAATTTGAGCTTTCCAGTGTTATAAATTTTCCAAATATTTGATTAATGCTCATTAGGCTGGTCTCAAAGTTTCGCTTGTATCCTCAGACTTCAACAGCTTCAAATATCTTTGCCCAACTGCGTGAAAGTCTATTTTAAAAGCTCATTAAACAGTTAATTAAGCTTTTCATATTTCCCCAGCAAACTACACTGAAGGCAAAGCCACTTGAGTAACTCAACTAAAGTTCGGGCTGTGCTTGCATTGCCCCGCTTAGAAGCTTCATAATTGCCTAATTGGAAATCCCCTGCCGAGCCTCTGTTGTGTGCGTTTCGGGGCGTATGCGTGATCTATAAAATTTCTATGGAATGAAAAACTTTTCGTGCATTATGGCAACTGCTTAAAATTCATTGGAGCATTCGCGCGCTTGTCCGATTCGCTCTTAAAGGCGAGCGTTAACTTTCCAGCTAATAAGTGGTCACATCTCACGGTCTCTGCCAGGCTTCAACGCCTAAGCAAGAAGGAAAAATAAGAAAGCGAAAACATTGTGCGTAACTTTAGAAAACTTTAGAAAAACAAATGAAAATTTCCGGCTGGCTGTGCGTTCATCATCATGGAATACGCATCAGGCGAGCAGCGCTTCAACTTTAATTACATTTTTTTGTTCTTTATTTAACCTGGCGGTGGTGTGCCCGGAAAATTGACATGGAAAATCACGGGCTGTGGAAGTTTTGGCGTAAAACGATTTAAATTTTCAAATATTCAAATGTTTTTCTTCCGCAAAGTTGCGTTTTAAGCAAACGCCGCTTTTAACTTGTTTCGCCTACTCAAACACTTACAAATTTCTTCGAAATAGGGGCGCCATAGGTGGCGGGGGGTCAGAGCTCAGAGCAGAGTACACATACACCCACACACACAAACAAACACACACATATATATATATAAAGATAGCTAAAGATGTGTTTCTATTGAATATCATTAGGTAAATAAAAAGCCTCTTGTACATTTTGAATATCTCTCAGCAAGCATTATACATACTAACATACAAACGTAGCTATTGTATCTATACATAATACTAACAATAATTTCTAAGCTAAACAAATTATGATGATGATGGAGGAGAAGAAGACGCTAACGCTTTGCAATAAATACCAAATAAAATAAATGAAGGAAAACAAAAAAAAAAAAAAAAAACAAACAAACAATTTCATAAAGAAAAACGGACAAAGTTTGCAAAACATTTGTTAAGTTTTTACTATGGAAGAAGCATTCATAGGCAACTTAAAATTAATATAAATACGAATACATATATACACATACATATACATATACATACAYATTATAAACATTGTTTAGTTCTTATTTACTATAATATTGTTACGCATTTGGTTCTCCTCTCAAGGAATTTCAAAACTGATTTTTAATTGTATAGTTAAGTGAATTGTATACTATTTGAACTATAATGCAAATGCGAATACAAAAAAAAAAAAAAAAAAAAAAAAAAAAAAAACTGTTCTCTCAATAATTCATGAAGAAGCATAAATTTAATTATATAATAATAAATATACGAAACTCAAAACTGAAATGCAATAAACAAAATCTATTGAACACCAAATGAAATAAGGCCAAAGAATTTTGAACTGGTGTGGGAAATGTTGGAGAAGTTCTTATTTGCTTGGATAGAACTTGATATTTGAGTATAGATATACTATGTATAAACAAATATTTACTTTTTTCTAATTTACTTTTACAGCTACAAAAAAAAGTTGTATATTTATTTAGTCAACTATTTATGACAATAATATAATGACAATTTTTACTGCCTTGGCTAATGTATATGCGGTATTTGATTTTTTATGATCTTATCTCTGTACTCAAGTCCCTCATTTATGACAAGGTCGGTCATTTAGCTGGCAGCTGTCGGAAAGAGAATAAAATATCTGTTTAAATTCTGACCAAAACAGACTTAAGATGCCGCAGAAATCGTTGTTTCCCCAAACGAGGTCCCCTGTGACGTTTACTTGCTCGCGAAACTGAAGTGGCCTATAAAATGAGCATGCTACGCCATCACTGAGGATAACTAAACCCGGCGTTGAGGAAACAGCTGAGCAAAATCATAAAAAATTGAATTTGAAAAAGCTTTGGCAGAAATATTAACTGACGGATTACTTTGAAAGGAACATATTAAAAATAAATACAATATTTTTGGAACAGACCTCGTTATACTGTTAAGCGTAAGGTGAAATCTATAAGTTTCAACAGTGGCTCAATTAAAGATAATTTATATTGAACTCAGTTCATTACCAAAATTTGGCAAAAAGTGAAAGGAAGCCATTTGTTAGAGCCCTTCAAACGATTTCAGGGCTGACTCAGTTTCGTCTTAATATATTGTCTACATCAGCTGAAATACCGGTAAGCGAGTTGACCATATAATGATAACATTTAGATAATATTTAAGTATCATAAAAAAAATATGGCTAGGTGCCTAAGAGCCTTTTATATAATACGTATTTTTCATAGAAATATTTTAAGCTATTTAAATTCATTTGTTGCCTTTTTTTAATTTTAATTAAACCTAGATTAGCACAGCATTAAGTGCCGTAATTGAAAATAAATAAATAATAAACTAAATTTGTATTTTCATTCTAATAACGAAGAGAAATATTATTCAAATACATTTTTATTGATTTTGTTAGCGAAATAAAATTTCAATTAAATTAAAAATTTATTTGTTCTCTTTTGGTCAGCACAAATTATTGATTAAAATACTTTTCTGGTTTATTTTTAATAAAAAAGCATTTGCCATGGCTACATAAAACCTCGCTGCAAATACTTTTAAGTAAATCATCAGAAAATGCTTTAGCTAGTTTGGGGATTTGGGAAGGAGCCAGGACTTTAGTGGGATTCCGTTTTATTGCCTATTGGTTTGCCTATTTCTATTTCTTGAAAGTTTCTTTTCCATGCTGCTCTTTGCTATTTGCTAATATTTGCAGCGTTTTCGTCGAGTCATCGAAACCTATGCAAAATAGCAAATCATGTTTGGCTACCCAAGGCCCTGGGTGTTTGTAGTTTCTTTTTATTTTTTGGGTTACTTTGGAGCGTGTACAAGCTCAGCAACAACAACAAAAACAACGACGAGAGTGTGGGGGAGTTTAAGTGTCTCGATTTCATTGCTCAATTGTGAAAGCAATTACATTACTCGTACCGTTAGGCAGCGCGCATCATGTATATAAATATATATAGCTGAGGGCTATTAGATGAAAGCAACAACATGCGATTGCCCCAACGGACTTAACCTTTGGTCTTAACCGTGATAGCGACGGCCAGGTGCAAAATATTTTGTGGCTCTCGGCTCCGGCGGCTATTGACCAGCAAAGCGCTTCATTAGGCGGCCACATGGCCCATGAAAGCGAAAGGACTTAACTAAATCCAACCCAAAATATATAAAGGCATCTGCCAGCAGGAGGAAGGATTGAGCAGGCTGCGACTGAGCTGTGTGGGCGGGGGTCGTGTCCCAGCGGCCGTTGACATACCAATCAACAGTTGGCGCCCAGTCAGCTGCGCGCCAAGCGTAGGCCGCAGAGGTTGTCCATTGGGAGCTTCGTGTTTTGAGCCAACGAGAACTAATAATGCTTGAAATTTCAATTACAAGTCAAAAATCATAAGCCAACTCTCAGTGACTGGGTCTGCGTCTGTGTGGGTGTGTGTATGTGTGTATGTGACTGAGTGTGTGTGTATGTGCATCTATTAATGTTTCTACGAGTACTTCACACTGGTTTGCAAATCTTCCAGCGTCATAAACATCAGAGTTGTTGTTGTTGCTATGCTGTGCGCTCTCTTTGCTTGCTGGAATGTTGTGGGAGCAGGTAAAGCAAAAAGAAAAGAAATCAACTAATTGAAGAACATCGACTTTGGCATACGCTTACTAAAAAATGCTATTCATATTGTGGGAGAAGAATTAAGCGATAAATATTTTATTGTTTCGTAAATGATATAATTTTAATATTATTATAAGTGTTTATTCTATAGTAGGTTTACTTAATTAATTTTAAGATGCATTTAAATAAAATATTTCATTAATTATAAATCATTTTTAGTATTTAATTCGATTTAGTAAAATACACTTATTTACATTATATTTATTTTCGAATTTCTTAAAAAAATAATTCCATTATTTT